CCAACAGACACCAACAGACACCAATAACCACCGACAAACACCGACAGACACCAACAAACACCGACAGACACCGACAGACACCAACAGAGACCAACAGACACCAACAGACACCAACAGAGACCAACAAACACCAACAGACACCAACAGACACCAACACACACCAACAGACACCAACAAACACCAACAGACAGGAAGTACACACCTGTAGACGACACTATTCAGAGTGTAGGAGCTGCCGTCATGAGAGTTGGCTACAACCAAGAACTTTTCCTCTCCGATGGTGAAGAACTCCCAGTCCACAGCACTGAACAAAACAACCTCATGTCATGTTTTTGGTCTCTCTGTTCTCAATGAGGTTTGGGCGACAACCGGCCAACATCAGCCCAACAACTGGAGATTGCCGATACATTTCGTATAAACGTGAGTGTGTATGTAGCAGCTGATCGGTTCTCAATCTTTTGAGGCAGACTGTTGAATTAGCAACATAAAATGACAAACATCACCGAATTGCCCAAAAAAACCTGATTCTATAGACCTGCTGCTCTGCAATGAGCCGGTTGGTCACCTGTGTGTGAGGATGTCCTGGAAGCGGATGAAGGTCTGCGTGAGCCTGTTGAGCTCGTACACGGTGGAGTTGATGCTGTAGAGATCCGGGCCGTGGTTTGAAACCTTCTGACTGTTGGCAACAGCGAGAAAGAACCTGCCATCGATCTGAAACGTTTCCCAGTCCGTCGCTCCTACCGTCTGCAGGGAGAGGAATAAATGGAGGGTAACCACTGACGGGAAACGTTCGCATCGAGGTACATTTACTTTTTAATACAATGACGTAACAGGGAAGATGACCAGGTGTAAAGCAGTTTGTTCCAGAGTGAAACGTCTCAACAACGACTGGTCAGATTTCCATTAAAGCCACTGTGGAAATTCATGTTCCCCGCAGGATGAATCCCAGTCATTCTGGTGACCCCTGACCTTTTCTCCAGCCCCACCATCAGGCTCCACTTGCACACAAGAAGTATCAAAACGTTCTGATCATAACGGATCAGATTGTCCTGAAATGCTCTTATCTGCTTCCTGTGCTCCAGAGGTTGAACCCTTCAGATTTTAATCAGCCCATGATCTTCTCTACCACCACCATCAGGACAAACTTTACATTTTTAATTCTTTAACGGCTCTTTAAGAATAAAAACACAATTTATTTTTACAACAATAAAAAAAAGAGTTACAGATGAAGCTACAGCATGTTACAATCACCGTTCTTTAGGGGGCAGGGCTACAGTGATTGACAGGTCTCTACCAGCGACGTATACGGCGTCTCTACGTCACTCCTCAGTCCAGATATGGTCACTTCCTGTTCACTGGTTGCAAAAACAAGATGGCGACGGCCAAAATGCAGAACTCAAGACTTTACTCTCTACATTTTAGAGCCTTTATAATTCAGTCATCAGAGAAATCATCAGTGTGTATTTTTGGTTGTGGGTGTAATGCCTCCTGCAGCCTCTAGAGGACGCCAGCAGGGTGTTTATTTCTGATCTGAGATCTATTTATAGATCAATTACACAAAGTGTTCTGTGACTGTTTCTGTCAGAAGTGGAATTAAAGATTCATGAAGCTTTAACATGTTTTTTGCGGTTTTTAAAAATCCAATAAAAGTCTTCAGTGAGATGATCCGCCTTGATGGACGAGTCCAAACAGTCTGCTGCTGGAAACCCCCTCACACACACACACACACACACACACACACACACACTCACACACACACACACACACACACTCACACACACACACACACACACACTCACACACACACACACACAGACACAGACACAGACACACTCACACTCTCTCACACACACACTCACACTCTCTCACACACACACACACACACACACACACATTAATTACAGTCCTCTGGTTCCTGTGTTTTAATTGGAGGGTTTATTTTCCATTTTAATGAACTAACTGAGCAAAAAAAGTAAAAAGACATTTTCATAAATCATGAAGTGATTTTAAAGAAGTGCTTTCATGTGAACGTCTGTCATCACATTTAGTCTTAATACCTTTTTACCTGCAGGATGTCCTGCCTTCAGAGTTATTACAGGAGAGAATGAAGAAGCAGGAAACATGCAGGTCAGCTGTGCTATGAAGGATCTTATTTCATTAATATACAGGTTACAAAAGCCCAATAAAACAGGTACAGGTGTTTGTCATCAGTAAACTCTGATACAGATCTACGAGGTCTTCAAAGAACCTGAATGTTCCTTTAATCCAGACAGAAGCTTCAATAACACATTGAACTGAGATAACCCTCTTCATCACCTGTTCAGGTAGAGACTCACCTGTACAGGTATACCAGACCTGCTTTCTTCAGATCTACTACACAAAGACAACAGACACTGACCGGGATGCTCTGGAATGTCTGGAAGCAGCCGTCCAGCCAGACGTACACGGTGGAGCTGATGGTGGTGGTCTGACCGTCAAAGGTGTTGGCGACCACCAGGAAGTGGTACGGTCCCACGGAGAAGAACTCCCAGTCATACGCTCCGGACGTGGACAGAGTCTGGTTCACCTCAAACAGCTGCAGGGACAGAGAGGACAGAGGGTCAGGACAAGAGACGATGAGACACAATGAAGGTAGACAAGGTAGAACAGGTGAGGATACAACTCAGTATGAAAGGACAGGACAGAAAAGAATGGGTGAAGACAAGAAAAGACAGGTCAGCAGATAAGAGGATATTAAGGATTTAAGGTGTTTGTGAGGACAGTGTGTGTGAGGACAGTGTGTGTGAGGACAGTGTGTGTGAGGACAGTGTTTGTGAGGACAGTGTATTTGTGAGGACAGAGTTTGTGAGGACCGTGTTTGTGAGGACAGTTTGTGAGGACAGTGTTTGTGAGGACAGTGTTTGTGAGGACAGTGTATTTGTGAGGACAGAGTTTGTGAGGACCGTGTTTGTGAGGACAGTGTTTGTGAGGACAGTGTGTTTGTGAGGACAGTGTTTGTGAGGACAGTGTTTGTGAGGACAGTGTGTTTGTGAGGACAGTGTTTGTGAGGACAGTGTGTTTGTGAGGACAGTGTTTGTGAGGACAGTGTTTGTGAGGACAGTGTGTTTGTGAGGACAGTGTTTGTGAGGACAGTGTGTTTGTGAGGACAGTGTTTGTGAGGACAGTGTGTTTGTGAGGACAGTGTTTGTGAGGACAGTGTGTTTGTGAGGACAGTGTTTGTGAGGACAGTGTGTTTGTGAGGACAGTGTTTGTGAGGACAGTGTGTTTGTGAGGACCGTGTTTGTGAGGACAGTGTTTGTGAGGACAGTGTGTTTGTGAGGACAGAGTTTGTGAGGACCGTGTTTGTGAGGACAGTGTGTTTATGAGGACAGAGTTTGTGAGGACAGTGTTTGTGAGGACCGTGTGTTTGTGTGGACAATTTGTGAGGACAGTGTGTGAGGACAGTGTTTATGAGGACGTTACCTTTGTGTCTGTGTTCCACCTGTAGATCACACTGTGGATGTTGTGATTGGAGTCTCTGGCTGAGGACACAGAGACACTTTAATCACATTATTATTATTATTATTATGTAATTAGTTTCATGTAGTTTAAATAAATATCTAACGTCTCATCTGATGCTGGAGAAGACACGTTGGACTGTTGCTTTAAATGTGTGTGTGTGTGAGATCTAACCACAGCACACCGGCATCAGCTGACTTTCTTTCTTTCTGTGTTTTTCTTTCAGACGGTCAGATCATAAACAATCTTTCTTTCCTTCCTTTCAGCTCAGATCAATGAGTGTTTTATCTTCACAGGACACACACACACACACACACACACACACACACACCACATGAATGTGCAGGTGGAGGTGTGTTTGATGTTAATGTTGCTCTGAACTCTCTGAACTCTTCACAGAGCTTTAAACTTCACACGAGACCCTCTGGTAGCTGCTCTGGAGCTTTTGATCCTGTTACAGGTTCTTCTTCTGGTTTGTTTACCTCGTCTGTGATTGGCCACCACCAGGAAGCTGTGGTTGTGGATGTGGAAGGCCTCCCAGTCCAGAGCGGAGTGAGTCTCAAGAGTTTGGTGACGGAGGAAACGCCGCCGCCGCCGATTCCACCGGTAGATGACTGACAGCTCAGGCTCCGCCTCCCTGGAGTTCGCCACCACCAGGAAAATCTGATGAGAAGTAATACAACAACAGCAGCAGGTCAAACAGCCGTAGCAGTGAGAGGAAGTACGAGTGAATTTATTTTAATCTGAAAAGATTGCGGCCAGAAATGACCAGAAATCAAAATCAAGCACAACATTAACTTTTGTGTGAAAATACAAAACATAGTGATTGATATGTTCCCTTATATCTGATAATAACATATTCAATTTAGGTTAAATCAACAAGACCGTATTTATTCTAGTTGATTAGTCGATCGGCATCTATTGATAATCGAATGGTTTTGATTGATTGTAAAAGGTTCCAGTTTATTCTCTCTGGAGGAGATTTGTGTTGAAAGCTGCAACAGCTCTCACCTGATCTCCGATGGTGAAGTGTTTCCAGGCTCGAGCCTCCTGAGTGCTGACGTTCTGGTAGAGCTGGAATGACCCGTTCCTCCATTTGTAGAGACCTGAACCGGGACGAGAGTCCCTACAGGATGAGACGTGAGGGGTTACACAGGTCAGTCCTTTGTGTCCTCAAGACCTGTAGGTGGTCTAACAATCCGGTCCCGTTCTTAGATCTGTTTTTACCTGTTGGCTGCAGCCATGAACAGACCTTCAGACGGGATGGAGAAGACCTCCACATCAAAGGTTTCTGAGCTGGTGTACAGATCCTGGTAGTCCTCCACATAGTCCAGACGCTCCTGACCTGACATGTGAGACAGTAGAGGAGACGGATAAAACTGGTTTTCTGGACATGTGCTGGATCAAGATACGTTTTCTATGTTGTTTTGTCTTCTGTTGGGTTTGTTGATTTGTTTGTCAGCAGCATTGCATAAAAACTACTTGTTTGATTTCCATTAAGATAACATAAGATGTCTTGTCTCGTCTATTGTGTTGGTGATGGAGCGCAGATTGGTAAAGATTATAGCAGGTAGTGCAAACTATTCCACGTGGCCTTCATGTCCGCCGGTCACATAAACAAAGTCTGATAAAGAATGATGGTCTAAATGTGGACAGATCAATGACCAGGAGGAAGCCATCACATGTTGGAGCAGATAAACTAATTATTGTGTACCCATGGGAACTGTGGAGGTCCCTTCTAGTTATTATTATTTTCATCATATTTTTTGAGTAAAAGTCAAATCAGTGTTGAACAAACAGCATCCTGATTTAATTGTGCTTTATTTTAAATATTTATTGGAAATCTCAATAAACTTAAAAAATAATCACGTCATCAAAGTGGAATAAAAACAACTGCTTTTAGCTGTTAACAAACAGAAAATCAGCTTTTCAACATCACTTTTTGTCATAATATGACTGATCAACTCAAAGACCTTTTCAAAATAAAACTTTATTCTTTTTCATTTCACTGCAAATCTCTATTATTACTACAACTCCTGTTCTCTGATGTGGATGCAAACACATTTTACAAATAGTGTTTGAACATTCCAGACTTGCAGACTCACTCTGCAGCAGAGTCCTCCATGTGAGTCCGTCACAGATGAACAGGCCTTTCCTCGGAGCGTTGAACCACAGCTGACCCTGTTCAGGTCCAGAACATGGAGGAGGATTTCCCAGAGTCACTCTGGCCTCCGCCTCTACAACGCAACAACAACAACAACACGTCTCCAGGAGTTTATGGTGTGAGGGCGGTCAGACCTGAAAGTAAACAGCTGGAAACATTTACTCAAGTAGCCGACTGTACATAAGTACACATTTCAGGTACTTCTACTTTGAGTAAATTTGGTCCATTCATCAATTAGTCCATTGACAGAAACTATTGTGGTGGTGGAAGTAATTTTCCTGTAAAACCATTGGTTGGTTCTAGATGTTGAAATGTTAATGTATTAGTATTAATACTTTCCTCTGAAATATTGTGGAGTATAAAAGTTTTAAGTGGCATTAAAAGTACATTCTTACATATATTTTCAGTTTACCCCTGCAGACAGTGTGGAGGGATGGAAAGCCCCTTTTTCTTTGGAACAATCCCAGTGACACAGAAGTAGAAACCATTTATCATTTGTCATTTCAGCGTCTGCACTTAATCAGTAACTGTATCTGACTGTGTGGTTGACAGACGGAGAGAACTGACAGCTGTGTGTTCATGAAGTGAAGGTAATGAAGGCTTCCGTCACTCCTTCAACCACACGTCTTCATTATGAGCAGACAGAGAGCGATGACTTATATATCATCATCACACATTAGTCACCTGAAGCTTTAAGCTGCCTGAAGACAGAACGACCCCAAAGATACACAACACTGAACTCAACAGACATGATGTCGTTGTTAGTGCTATATAAGGATGGCCTGGTGGCACCTCCTGTTAGCAGCTTCTGGTAGCACAAGATGTAGCTTTAGCCTCAGTCTGTTAGCATGACATCATGACCTGAGACCTGTTAGCTTTAGCCTCAGTCTGTTAGCATGAAATCTCCTGAGACTGAAGTTAACAGACATAAACCAAAGGTTAATTTAAACTGTGAGTCACAGAGAGAAGGGAGTTCAGTCTGCTGAACTTTATTACCTCTCAGAGCCTCAGGCTGCTCACACTTTACCTCAACAGACATTAACAGAAATCCTGTCTCTCTTTAGATGTTTCAGATTGATATATATAGTTTCGTCTCTGCCTCATTATAAGCCACAATAATCACATCAAACCTTGAGATCCTAGCAACGCTAGAGATGCACAAAGCTATGCTAGCATTAGCTGGGAAGATAACATCTTCCTCTTGCTTCCAGTCTTTGTGCTAAGCTAGGCTAACCGTGGGTTCTGTACTGGACACACAGAGATGAGACTGCAGTGAAACATTTTTAAATTTCCAAATTTAAAGAACTGGAACAGGAACAAGAACACACCTGTACCAGGTAGTCAGCACCTGTGATGTTGGAAACATACATCAAACAGTAGAGCAGACCCCGTCTGTCAATCACACACACACACACACACACACACACACACACACACACACACACACAGGAAGCTCTTCCATCCTGTCAGTCCTTCAGTAGCTCAGGTTACTGAGTCCCTGATACCATTACAACCTGAACCACCAACACAGTCAAAGGTCCCTCATGTGGAGCCGATCCACAGGTTCTGATCCGGGTTTCTCTACACGACCAGAAGTATGTGGACAGCTTAACATGTGTTAACATAGTTAAAAAAATGTCCAATTGGACCGAAAACCACCAGAAACTAGAAAAGGTTCCCTCCTCACCGTACGGGTACACCGGTCCACGGTGCTCGGCCTGCAGAGGGCTGGACTTTAGGACCTGGGGGACGGACAGCTCGGCCAGGTTGGGGTCAGAGGTCGTGCACAGTCTGGGCGTGGCGTCTGAACCAGGAAGTAGAACCAGCTGACGAAGTAGACCCTGAACACAGAAAGAACGAGTTGGAACTCAATTTGATGCTAACGTTAGATGTTGGTGCTAGCATGTCAGCCACATGGTCTTGATCTTATCCCAGCTTAAGACCCTGAAGATCTGAAGTCCTGATCCTGAATACAGACTCACAGTGAAGCGGCCCCTCAACCTCCTCCTGCTGCCGATGAAGAACCTGGACCCTCTGGTGCTCAGAGCGCTGGGGAACGACTGGACCTGTTTACTGGGAGACAGGAAACCAGTTAGACTCCTGTCCACTGGTCTCTACTGGTCTGTGTGATCAGGGTTATGCTTCTGATTTCAGTTACTTTAATTCACCAAACTGAACCAAAGTCAAGTTAAAACCAGACTAAGTCAGAAGGACTCAGTCTAAACTAAAATAAACCAGGCTGAGCTGGACTGAACCAGGCTTTGGTTAACAAAGGTGGACCAGGATGAACCAAACGGGACCATATGAGACCGCTCTGAACTGAAACCGCCTGAAATGAGGAGAACTCTGTCAAGGGAACCAGACTGAACTGGACTGAACCAAACTGAAAGAAACCAAACCAAGCTCAACTGGACCGAACCAGTTTAACTTGAAGTGAACTGAACTGCACCTGTCTGAACTGGACTAAGCTGAACTGGTCTTAAGTGGTCTGATGGAGACTCACAGCTCAAGAGGAAGTCCACAGTCGACGGTCAGCGTGGCGTACGGTCCGGTGACGGCCAGCACCACCGTGTGCCAGCAGTTATCGTCCAGTCTAACGTCCTTAAAGGTCAGCCGGCTCAGCCCACCGACGCCGGGGGGCGTGGTCAGGAAGTGGAGTCGGGTCTCTGAGACATGCAGGCCCAGCAGCAGCGAATCAGATTCCTCATCCACGACAGAGAAGATGTACTCGTTCCTCTGGAAACAAGAGAGCGAGACAAGTGAGAACCAGAGCGAACCAGAACGAAACCAGACCAGGTTCCACTCGGTTCTACGGGTTTCACCTTCTGTCTCAGTCTCGGTATCTTGATGGTGGCGACCAATGAGAACTCGGCAGGGAAGTAGTCACAGTTGCTGAAGATTTGAGAGGCGGGAAAACTCAGAGCTGTCGCCACGGCGCCAACAAATCGGAGGCCTCTAGACCCTTTGGACTGAACCATCTGCAACTGATCGGTCATTTCATTGATCATTTGTTTATCTAGCAAGTCATTCATCCCTCCATCCACCTGTCCTACCTGTGGGGGCGGGGCTTGTCCTGGGTGTGGCAGGGCTCTGGCCAGCAGGTCAAGAGGCAGCAGGTCTGAGAAAAAAACAGAAACTCCTTATTCAGAAACACTTTGGCCTTTTAAACACACTATGTAGAGAACAACAGAACATCTCTACATTTACAGAAAAGAGTCAACTCTGTCTTTTCTTTAATGTTCTTTAATTCATCCAACTCTCTTGACAAACATCGACATAAAGACAGAGTGGCACATAACTGTTTTTTAGATCTGTGTGTTAATCAAAGTGCATTTTTTACTCAGTGAAACCATTTAAGGATAACAGAACTTAATCACTGCACATGTTGAACAACAGCTGGTTTTATCAGTTCTCTTTCTGACAGGACGTTTTCCTCTTACTGTGATTGATAAGTGTGTCTCTCATGTGGTCAGTTTGATATCAATCTTCATCTGCTCTCAGATCACATTATCACCTCAGGGGACGTTTAACTTGTCTACCTGTTGCTTCAGTGATCTAAAAATAGAACCAAAGGTGAGTCAAGTCACAGATATCAGCTTCTGGCAGCATTCAGAGTAGCTTATGGAGTAACGTACGGAGTAACTGTAACTCACGCCGTAACTTACGGAGTAACGTAGGAATAGCTTACGGAGTGACGTACGGAGTGACGTACGGAGTGACGTACGGAGTGACGTAGGGAGTGACGTACGAAGTAACCGACGGAGTCACGTATGGAGTCACGTACGGAGTAGCTTACAGAGTAATGTACAGGCTAACGTACAGAGTAAGGTAGAGAATAGCTTACGGAGTAACGTACGGAGTAATTTACGGAGTAACCGTAACTCACGCCATAATTTACGGAGTAACTTAGGAATAGCTTACGGAGTAATGTACGGAGTAACGTACGGAGTAATGTACGGAATAGCTTACGGAGTAACATATGGAGTAATGTAGAGAGTAATGTACGAAGTAACATACGGAGTAAGTAATGTACGGAGTACCGTACGGAGTAACGTAGGGAATAGCTTACAGACTTACGTACGGAGTGAACTCAGCTGGAATCCTTAAGTAATATTAAAAAAAACATTTTGCTGTGTTTTTCACAGCCGAACACAACCTTCAGCCTCAAGGACCAATATATACTGTGTTCATAAATGTGAAAGGTGACAGAAATTAGATGAAAGAAGAGACGTAGAGGGAGTTAAATACTTTGTCTCTAAACTGATGGCAACAGCTCGATGTTAGCTTTTTAGCTGGAATTCCCCTTTAAGCTCCTCTGAGGCTGTCTGTGTGTTCTGTTGCTGCAGAGAGATCAATGGAGGATGAATGGAGGATGAATGGAGGGAGGGGACGACATGCACAGAAACTGATCTCACATTTCAAAGAAGCACAAAGCAGCAGAGAGTCGTCTGAAACACATGAAACACAGCGACCACAAACTGTACACTGATGTTAATATCAGGAGTTTACTAAGAGGACAAACTAATCAATCAATAGAGAAGAAGTCTCTCATTGATTTTGATGTTGGTCAACAAATAGCTCCAATGCCAACAGCTAAAACCACAATGTCTCCTTTTTACATAGTTAATATCTGCATCTGTCGAGTAAATAACATAGAACATGTAAACCAGAAAGAGCTTGTTGTCAGACAGAGGATGTTTAAGAGGAAGTTTAGTTTTATAACCAAATGCCTTATAAGACAGTACACACAAATTAACTTTATTTAATATATTTTATTCCATTGTGATAGCGACAAACTGTCTGTTTTTCCTGTTCTGTTCAGAAGGTGTTGTCTGTCTGCCGTCTACCTGTTTCATTGTGAACGAGGTATCAATGCTAAGCTAGACGGCTAAAAGGGTCCTGGATTGGATAGTGAAAATAAATAAAATAAAATAAATACAAAATAGTTTTAAAAAGCTATTTTCAATCAAGTCATCTTCTAAGTTCAGTTAGCTTTGAGTTAGTTAGCTCCAGTGGTGGGCCGTCAGGGCCTTCAAGGCCTTCTCTGCTGGCCTAAACAGCATCACAAAGTTATAGCTATTTTATAATTTAATAATGTTTCATAAATACACTACATGTATTGTAATATTTTTCCCATTATCTTATTTTCTCATTGCACAGCTACTGTCTTCCTCAGTTGCTCTGCTTCCAGTGCAGCTTGTTTTAAGTAGAGCTTTTATCCAATCAGATCTCACCTCTGTGTCTCTAGGTAAGAACAGAGACAGAGGCCTGCAGACTCACAAGTGAATCCATGTGCAGTGTAAGTGAATGGGGACGATATTGTTGATTGTCATAGTGTTCAACCAATCAGATCTTTAGTTTGACATGTTGGGCGTATTCTTTGACGTGTCAGAGCCTGCTAGCTGGCCTAAAAGTACGTGATTGGTCAGTGGGCTAGCGTGACATGTTGGGCGGTGACAATCCCAATATCTGCTGCCTCTGTGGAGCGGACATTTTCAGCCTCAAACGCATTAAAACGTATTCAAGAAATACAACTGGGGAGGCTCGACTGTCTTCACTGGCCTTCACAGGACTTCTTACTGGAACTAAAACACACGGATGTACTGAACAACCGTGGGATTAAACTCTTTATTAACAAAGAAAGAAGGACTTTGTCTTTAAATAGTGAACAGCAGCTCTGGTAAGTTAAATGTGTTTTTTTTTACATCTATGGTAGCTTTAATATGCTTGTTTATATATTATTATTTGTACAACTTGTTTTTATGAAGATGGATTTTTTTTTGGTTTTATATGCGATAGGAACTATTGTTACGTCCAATGTTGCTCTGGGGACATATTTAGCAGGTGACAGTGTTGCCAAGTTGGCGACTTTCTAAACCCTCATGGAGACTTTTTTTGTCAAAAGCTACGAGTGACAAATCTAGAGACTTGTTCTGGTGCTGTGACTCTGACGTTAAAGCTCGTACGTTATGCTCTGTGGTGAACGAGCAGCAGGTGCTGCCGTGAGCCCCAAAGCTCTCACAGGTTACTCTCATAGCAGCCTTGCGCAGCAGTCCCAGCTGCAGTCAGAGACGAGACGCACTCTCAGCGTGTTCATGTATCTGCACTCTGCAGTTAGTGTATCTACAGGTGTTGAGCTTCATTTTTACACAAAACAAATAACGGTAGCTGTGTTTCATCTGCAGGACAGCAGTGAAGGCCCAGGTATAACATGCACGGCCAGCCACGGGTTAGCTCTGAGTTAACCCAGCTGACTACAGGATGGATTGATGACTAACTTGTTAGTTAACATGTAAATCTGACAGACTTTAAAGTTGGACGGTGAATTCGCCTCCAGTCTTTATGCTAAGCTAGGCTAAACACATACAAAGTCTCTCTTTCTTAATCTTTTATGCCAGTGAAACTCTGTAAAAATCTGTAAAATGTAATGTCTTCTCATTAAATAAAACTTGACATATTTTCATTGAACAATGTTTTGGTTAAGTCAGCTGGTATTTTTATATTTCTAATAAAATCCAAACTTTTATATGTAAACCAGCAACAGCCAACACACTGCTGGTTTTGGGCTTCGGTTGAGCTAGGCTAACAGTTCACCCCATTTCCAGTCTTTGTGCTAAGCTAGGCTAAACATGCCTTGGAAACATGATATCTATCTGCCTCTGGAGGGGGAGAGATGCCGGACTTTTCCTCTAAGGTTTCTGGTGGACTCGTACCTGTACAGGGTCTCCAGCTGTGGCTTCGGACTCCGGTGGCAAGCATCACCCAGGTGAGCAGCAGGGAGCGACATGCTAACATCACGGCAACGACGCGGGTTTGATTCCGCCTCACCGGTCCGCTTCTCGTCCGACGCCGCTCAGCGACATTTTCCAGCTGTGCACTAGAACCAGGTCCAGTCACTCTCCTGGTGGTTCTGATGTTCTGCTTCTGTTCAGCAGTTTATTCAAAGGTCTGTGAAACACAATGAACAGAAACGTTAATAGAAAACCAGGAAAGCTTCTCAGTTATTGACTTTCGTGACCTTTTAACCCTTAGAAACCCACAGAAACACGTTTTTCTTTTTTAGCAGGTCACCGTCTACACCACAGAGAAGAGATGTTCCTCATAAGCTGAGAACCTGAACATTAATTCAATTCACAAATATTCATAAATATTAGGATGTTATGATGGAAGAGTATGATGCTCATTCTCATGTCTCAGAAGTTGTTTTTTTCACAGATTTGATGCTAAATTCAACAGTTTCTTTACTTTGTAGAATTAATTAATCAGAAATCCCTCCAAAATACCGCAATAAGACTCATCATATTCCATCGATTGGATGGAGTTCTTGTGTTCTGATGCTCAGAAACATTCATCCTCTGAAAGCTCTGCGTCTCTAGTTTGTGGCTTTAAGAAGGAAGGAAGGAGCTGTTCCTTTCACTGCCCTGTAGACTAGCACCAGAGTCTTAAACTGAATGAGAGCTCTTACAGGGAGCCAGTGAAGAGAACAGAGAAGGGAAGTTGTGTGGGAGAACTTGGGGCGATTGAACACCAGGCGAGCTGCAGCTTTCTGGACAAGCTCCAGAGGTCTGATGGCCGACGCCGGGGCTCCGGCAAGTAGTGAGTTGCAGTAGTCCAGGCGGGAGATGACAAGAGACTGGATAAGCACCTGCAACGTCTCGTCAGTGAGGAAGGGGCGAATCCTCCTGATGTTGTAGAGCAAGAATCTGCAGGAGCGTGTAACTGATGCAATGTTTGCTGAGAACGACAGTTGGTCATCCAGGGTCACACCCAGGTTTCTCGCAGTCCAAGTTGGCGTTACCACGATATCGTCAATGGTGATGGACAGATCTCTGTGCAGGCAACCCTTCCCCGGGAGGAACAGCAGCTCGGTTTTGTCCAGGTTGAGCTTCAGGTGATGCGTCGTCATCCACTTCGAGATGTCAGCCAAGCATGCAGCGATGCGTGCCTCCACTTGAGTGTCACCGGGGGGAAATGACAAGACCAGCTGTGTGTCATCGGCATAACAATGGTAAGAGAAGTCATGCGAGCGAATAACAGAACCCAGAGATGATGTGTAGAGCGAGAAGAGAAGGGGGCCCAGGACTGAGCCTTGCGGAACTCCCGTAGTTAGCATGCGTGGTTCCGACACGGCCCCCCTCCATGTCACCTGGTAGGATCGACCTGTCAGGTAGGATGCAAACAGGGAGAGTGCAGAGCCTGAGACGCCCATCCCCTCGAGGGTGGAGAGGAGGATCTGGTGGTTCAGTGTCAAATGCTGCAGACAGGTCCAGGAGAATTAAGACAGAGGAGAGAGAGTTAGCTCTCGCTGCGTGAAGCGACTCCGTCACCGCAAGGAGGGCTGTCTCAGTCGAGTGACCCACTTTGAACCCAGACTGGTGGGGGTCCAAGAGGTTGTTTTGGTGGAGATAGGAAGACAGTTAAGTAAAGACAGCGCGTTCAAGTGTTTTGGAAAGAAAGGGTAGAAGAGAAACCGGTCTGAAGTTCCTGACATCAGAGGGGTCAAGTTATGGTTCCTTCAGAAGGGGGGTGACTCTGGCAGTCTTGAAAGCCGTGGGAAAGCATCCTGAAACGAGGGATATGTTGATGAGGTGGGTGAGGAAAGGAAGGAGTTCAATCACAATAGACTGAAGAAAAGGGGAGGGGATCGGGTCAAGGGAGCACGTGGTGGGGAGGTTAGATGTAACAAGCTAACTATTAGGTCATAGGTTACTCTACGTTTGACATATAAATGGATTGTGAGTACATTGAAGACTACTTTAAACGTGGCTTTACAACACATGAAATACTTCACATGGATTGTACTCAGTTAACGCACCCTTGAAAGAATTTTAAGCAAGAAGCAGCTCAGGAGTAGAGAGAATAAACCCGATGTGGTTGAGGTGGCAACCTTCATTGAACAGCACCTGGAAACATCTGGTCAGTGTCATGGTTACAGATGGATGCACCAAAAGTGCCCGATTTTTATTATCAAGTCTAACTTTTCATCTTTCTTTGCTGCCGGAAATGGGCTTCCATTTAAGAGGCTTAAGATAGTCTTAAAATTAAAGTCTATGCTGGTTTACAGTGTACAGTGACCATAAACTACATCTCCCACAATGCATGTTGATTTTGTGACCCGCAAAATGACGGCATCCTGCCGCTAGACAGCAGTTTTTCCATATCGGCGTTTAACTTTGCCAGTTAAATTTTATTTCACACTGTGATTGTGAAGGTAAACTGTGTAATGAATCCGTGGTTCACGTGTGCCGAACCGTGAGGGGGGATCCGTTACACCACTATTATTCACTCACGTTGTCTGTGTGCCGACATTAAAACTATCACAGGTGGACAGGAGAGGCAGGTCAAGCGGTTTTCGACAAATAATCCCAAAATGTCCACGAAGAGAAACATTGATGCAGAGAAGGAAATGTAATGAAAGATGTGAAAGCGAATACAGGCTCATGTGATCATCTGATAGTTTATATAAACGTGAGGATCATGTGATC